ACTAGAGCTGTGATTTATTATATATATATATATATATATATATATATATAATCATAAACCTAAAAATTGGTATTGAATTGCTTTTGCCTTGGTTTTTGAGTTAGTTAATGATTTGGCCTCTTTGTTGAGGCCACAATTTTGCCGAGAGTCCAATACACTATCTCGCTAGATCAAAGCAAGATAGGAGAAGTCCATTACAAATTTCAAGCTCTACATTGTCAGTGCTGCTCAATAGGTCAAATAAACAGTTATTGTTAAGATTATCATATTATTTATATTTAAGTGACTTCAAGGTAACATACATGTTTTAGAACTTAGTTTAAGCTGAGAGCAAAACTGCAAGAGTGCTTGTTGCTGATGCATTACTATAGAGTAAGGGGAAATAATGGGATAAACCTTTATTGAGTAAGGGGAAAATAATGGGGATAAACCTTTATTGAGTAAGGGGAAAATAATGGGGGGAAAACCTTTATTGAGTAAGGGGGAAAATAACGGGGGATAAACCTTTATTGAGTTAGGGGAAAATAATGGGGGATAAACCTTTATTGAGACAGGTTGACTTTACCTGTAGTCATATGGCTGTGGTGTTTTTCCAGCCAGTTGCTTATCCATGTTATATGCTACTATCACTATCAGTGCTATGCTCTTTTGCTCACTAGAATTCCTAACTTTTTCCTCTCTTAAGTAATTGATTACAGTAAGATGTATATATTTTAATGTCTTTCACGTCTGTGATTAAGTGATTACAGTAATCTGTATATATTTTAATGTCTTGCACGTCTGTGATTAATCGATTACAGTAAGATGTATATATTTTAATGTCTTGCACGTCTGTGATTAATTGATTACAGGAGGATGTATATATTTTAATGTCTTGCACGTCTGTGATTAATCGATTACAGTAAGATGTATATATTTTAATGTCTTTCACGGCCACATCTGTAATCTGTGATTAAGTGATTACAGTAATCTGTGTATATTTTAATGTCTTGCACGTCTGTGATTAATCGATTACAGTAAGATGTATAAATTTTAATGTCTTGCACGTCTGTGATTAATCGATTACAGTAAGATGTATATATTTTAATGTCTTGCACGTCTGTGATTAATCGATTACAGTAAGATGTATATATTTTAATGTCTTGCACATCTGTGATTAATTGATTGTAGTGATTCGGTGTACTTGATTATTACTTGAGAGATTACGGTGAAAATGCATTTTTTCATAATGATGATGTGTTCTATATATTACTGCTTGTTTTTGTTTTTTCAGTCTAAAGTCAGAGAACTTCAGAAGAAATGTGAACTCCAGAATGTTCTTCATGAAGAACTTGTTTTGGAGATGGCAGCACTGCGACGCTCACAGGCCAAAAGAGCATGGAGTACACAGCGGTCTCATTCAGCCGATGTAAACCTAATAAGCAACTTATATTATTGGCAATTTCAGAGCCTAATTTAAGAGAATTTTACTTGAACTAAATTGGCAAGAGATATGGGCTTCTAAGATTCCCAGCAGGGCTCAGAGGCAGATTTATGAGAGACATGGAGTTATGATAAAATGCAATGTCTTAGTTATTTCCACATGAAATTAGTGTTTTGTAGCAATTATTAATATTAAGTGTAAAAGTAAATATATTGTGATTGTTATTCAACAATTAAAAAAAAAGTTTTCCATAGACCTACAGAAAATGTTAAAATATCTTAGATTTTAGATAAGTTTGAAATAAATATTGATAAATAGAATCGTAATTGAATCTACAGGTTTGACGTTAGTAGACAGGACACTCTTACGTTAGGGATTGTTCAACTTATCTTACTGTTGCTGGTTGTTTTGGGTCAACTTTAGCTGATTTTCATAGAGATAAGCATTTTTTTTTTCTGGAACTATATATATATATATATAGTCTATAATTTACAAGTAATAAAAAAAAAGAATGATGTAGGGATGACAGTGCGAAAAAGTGCAGAAACAAGGAAGGGATGAATACACAAAACCATACAAAAATTCGTACATAAGTAGCCAAATATTTCCGAGAAAAATTTATTTATAATGATATGTTGAATTCCTTTCACTTTCATGAAATTGAGTTTGAATAAAAGCATTTATTTGAACTGAATACTGCTATAAAGTTTTACAGTGGCTAATATAATTCAGTGGATAATTTGTGTTTTCACTACTTGTATAAAAAAAAAATTATGTCATTCAGTTTGTGTTTGGGCCCGGCATGGCCAGGTGGTTAGGGTGCTCGACTCGCAATCTGAGGGTCGCGGGTTAAAATCCCTGTCCAACTAAACATGTTCGCCCCTTTCAGCCTTGGGGGCATTATAATGTGACGGTCAATCCCACTATACGTGGTAAAAGAGTAGCCCAAGAGTTGGCAGTGAGTGGTGATGACTGGCTTGCCTGTTCTCTAGTCTTACACTGCTAAATTAGGGACGGCTAGTGCAGATAGCCCTCGTGTAGCTTTATGCAAAATTCATAACAAACAAACAAACAGTTCGTGAGTAAATGATAGAGATTCATAAATTTGACTCTTTATATATCATCAATTATCTTATTTGTAAGCTGTTTGTGTCACCATTTCTTTGTAGGCTGTTAATGTTATGAGGCATTTATTAATTGATACTCCCAAATAATGTTTCCATGCAATAGTGGGAGAGCTAATAACATTTGTTTTTGTATTTGACATAATTTACCACTGTGTACAAAAGTTTAGTAATTTAGTGCACTTTGCCAAGTTTCTTTAAACAAATTTATGTTAATTAATACTAAATAATCTCTAGTTTTCTAATGAAAATATTATTATTAGTATCAGTGTATGTCCATAAAATTCCAGTTGATGTATGGCATGTTTAGATCTTATGTTTTTATACTTTGATATTTCTACAGATTCCACATGATCAAGAGTCACATGTTGCCCACGAACTGGACAGGATACTGGCCAGCACAGGGACGTTGATGTCCAGCACATATGGGCAGTACTCCTCTTCGATACCCCCTCTCTCATTATCTTCAGCTCCATCATCATCTCTTCCATACCTGGATCAAATAAACCTATTATCTCATACATCAGCTCCCTGGACTGACTCATCCACATTATCTTACTCAGCTAGTAAAGGTATCTATTCTTTGGTGACAGTTTGAAATCAAGATGTTTCTTCCTTCATCTATTTCAGCACATTATTTTTATGTATAGAGTTTTGTGTGTTTTGTGTGTGTGAATAGAATATTGCTTTCTTTCTACCATATTGTTGCTGTTTGAATTTATTTGGAATTATAAGTTACCTAAGGAATAACAAATCTTCAAAATGTTTATTATAATTATTTTCTTAAACTTTCGGAAAGAAGTAGAATATCCAGAAAGTTCTTATTAACTACTATTCGCTTGATTAATGTTTAAATTTAAGATTTATTTATTGTTTTCAGTTTTTACTACATTGAAAATAAACAAACTTGATAGTTTTTTGTTGTTTAACACTGCTTTATCCCAAAATTAATTTTTTCCTGTAAATAAATTATGAAATTGGCTTTCCTTGTGAAATTATTATGGCTGTTTCATGTTAAGTCCACTTCTAACAGATTGTTTTTAATACATCTACAGTTTGACTGTAAATATTTAAACTGTGATTTTTGTACATCAGTGGATATTGTATGTGATAAGATTGAGAACTTTTTCTACAATTCTTTACTGCATATTAATTTTATTTGAATCAGTTCTAGGACAAGTACCATCAACATCTTACAAGTTACCAGAATTTAGACTGTCTTCCGTGACTACTACCTCTGGAAGTTTCTTAACATCCATATCGAGTGCTGTTCCAGCCCCTTTAACGGTGAAGCCGGCTCTTATGGAGAAACTTTCTTTTACATCCTCCTCACTTTCAACTCCGGCAATGTTAGAATCAGCTTCCAAGGAGATAGACAGGATTCTTCAACGCATCGAACAAGATAACAGACTTCTAGCTGAGCTAGATAAATCTAGAAGAACCTTTTGTGAGTCCTTTAAAGTTTTGTGTTTTTAAACTGTGTAACGCTAACTGAAGCAAATGAGTTATTTCAAAAATTAAACTATTTGTTTCCATCGGTATTTTGGCGGCTCAGCAAGGCCAGGTGGTTAGGGTGCTCGACTCGCAATCTGAGGGTCGTGGGTTCGAATCCCGGTCCCACCAAACATGTTCGCCCTTTCAGCCGTGGGGGTATTATAATGTGATGGTCAACCCCACTATTCGTTGGTAAAAGAGTAGCCCAAGACTTGGCAGTGGGTGGTGATGACTAGCTACCTTCCCTCCAATCTTACACTGCTAAATTAGAGACAGCTAGCGCAGATAGCCCTTGTGTAGCTTTGTGCAAAATTCGTAACAAACAAACAGTATTTTGGCTTTCAATTTTATCAGGATTTCTAGTCTGCCACAATGATAAATAAATGATAACAATAAGAGTAAATGTAAATTGAAGATTGTAAGACACGTGCTATATGTCTATGTGAAGTCAGAATTTCAACAATAGCAAGAAAAAATCTAATTGCTATCAAATAGTGAGAAACGAAATATAGAAAAATATAGGCAAATAATCAGGAATATGACTGTTGTAGAAAATGTTATTTGAGTGTCTAGTTCAGAAAAGAATATTGACATATTCATTTGGGTCATCTAAACTTCATTTAAGTTAAGCAGAATGGAATTGCAGTTAATTAGCAAGTTGTTTGTACTAATGATAAGATATATATATACAGGATTGGGTACTTTTTATTAAAATGACTTGGGATATGAAAATTGGCAATTCACTTAACAATTGCAGCTGATATATGAAGTTGAGGTGGAATATCATATATTAGAACTACATTTTGATATTGTCTGGTGCCTAATACATAGTATGATGCTACAAAAATTGGTATCACTTGGGAAGGGTATGCAACATCTCTTTCTGATACAAAATATTCATACACTCAGATAATAAAGATGTGTTCAGATCAGGTATTTAGAATTGCTAACATGGAGATAGTCCTTATACTTTATGTCATTGGAAAACAAAAAAAAAGTGTGTGTCAATTTGGGGCACCAGGACCATTCAGAAGAAGACCTGCAACAAGTCATACTCCAGTCATGGTAAGGAAAATGCTGCGTTGTATAACACAAACACAACAGGCAATGACAAAAGCCATCCACGTGTCCCGGGCAATAGAACACACATTAATCAAGAAGGATTTGAGTCTTGAAAAGTGACATAAACCACATGTACACATTGTTTTTCACAACACATCACTTCCACTATTGCATACCTCAAGCAGCTGGAGAATGAAACAGGTAATTAAGAATCATGCTATCTATTTGAAGACATACTATTCAAGTTGCCAAAAATAGCATCTGTGGATTTCTGTGTGATAGGACTATTGAAATGGGCCCCCTGGGAAATCAACGTTTTCGCACACTAGATAGATTATGGAAAGCTGCAGGAAGGAGGGATGTGCTTTGGACATAAAAACCTTGTGATGTAATCATCTGCAATGGAAAGTACAATGCAGAGCTATTTTCAAGATTCATGATTGTCAGATAGAGCATAACTGTAGACGTAGTACTGTAGTATTTTTTATGCATATAACAAAAACTTGCATTTCGTATTTTAAGAAAATTACTTAATTATTCTTGTAAATATAAATACTTACACAACCATATGGTAAATACTCGATTACTAGGGCTAAATATAAATCTAGCTAACCTCTAACAGAGTTCTCTTGAGTGCTCTTCTTCACAATTAACTAGCCAATGAGCTTCTCTGCAGGCCATAGTATGGGTTTTATTAATCATTGTGAACTCTTACACTTTATGTTATAAGTAGTGCTTTTTTCATGTCAAAGTACAAACCCTGGGTAGGAAAGGATATATATATAATTATATATTATTTACTTAATACTTTCTATCAGTTTGTTAATAAGTTACATTTTTAAAGCAGCTATGCTACTTAACTGCAAAATCTATTTACAGCTAAACAGCATAGTTTTGTCATCTTGAGGAGGGAAACAGTTCAGCATGAAATTTATTTGATGAGCAGCTGTGTATTTGAGTATTATAAAAGAGGTGTGATAAAATTACATTATTTTTCTAGCTTCGTCTGTTCCTGGCTCTCCAATTTTTTCAGAATCAGCAGAGAGGATGAAAGTTGACACTGAAGGAGAGACGAGACTCAAAGAAGAAATTTCTCATATTGCATCAAAGTTGAGTGAGTACAAGATGGATATTACATTAACAAAGACAAGAAATATTTATTAATATTTTCATGCAAAAGCTATTAAAGATGTTTAAACAAATGTGTGTTGTTGTTGTTTTTTTAACGAGTCACAGCTTTTAGAGCAAGAAAGAATATTTTCAAAACGGGTATGATGTCTCGATCGCTGAGGCGATCATTCTCAAGTACACAAGTTTTAACAGTGAAGGAGGTTTTAGTACTTACAGATCGTTTAATGTTGATTTAAATACTAATAACTTATTTACCGTTAAAACTTGTGTACTTGAGAATGATTTCACTAGTGATCGAAAAATGTTGTACCTTATAATCAGTAAGTAAACTGAAAATGAAACTATAAATGTTTTGTTTTGTAAGTTACGAGTAATTCTGAAATATGGAACCAGAGAAAACAAGCCAAACATCTCTGTGACATCATATGCAAATAACCCCAGTGTATAAATACAGGTATAGCTCAAACAAACCACTATGGCATGAGTGAAAGGAACTCTGGAAATAATTGTGTTTTTACATGATGAAAGAGTTGGGTAATTGGAGGATGATTTCATGAGGGATTTCCAGGAAACTTGCAGTGAATGTCCTCAGCCAAATGTACAGTACTGTTACAGAACAGGTACAAGTATGCCTCAATACTATCGAAAGTTATTTTCGTACCTTGGGCTACAGTCAAAGAGTATCTACTTGTAAGTGAGCCCTTCACTTTAGACAATATTACACATTAACAGCAGTGGGAGTAGGCAGGATTGTGGAGAAACAAGGTGATAAAAAATTGTCCCAGTAATTACAGGCCCATTAGTTTTACATCAGTTGTGGGAAAAGTTTTTGAAAGTCTGATAAAAGATGCCTTGGAAAGCCATTTAACAAAGTTTAGAATGTTTTTGGATAGTGAACACTGAGGGAAAATCTTGCCTTACAAATCTTTTCCCATTTTTTGAAAAGGTTACTGCTTATATAGATGAGGATAAATGACAGATGGGTTTAATTATAATAAATGTAAGATAATGCACGTGGTTTATCATAATTTGAATTATATGTATAATTTGGATGAGAATAACCTTAATAGTGTTATGAAGGAAAGAGATCTTGGTGTAATAATCTATCAGTCTCTAAAGCCATCCAGGCAGTCTGCTATTGCTAGTGGTAGGGCAAATAGGATTTTAGGTTGTATCTA